GAGAAGCTCAAGGGCGGAGAGGATCAGCTCTCCAACGAGCCAGCTGCAAACTAAACAGCCTTCCCGGACTTTCATTAATGCCCTGGTTGAAGGTATTAAACTTATAAATAAAATATGATTCTTTTTGCTCTCTTTCAATTTTTGTGCTGAAGCCTGATTCCAAAATTACAACAGAAATGTGCTTGATTGAGTGATTAGAAAGAGACAGGTGCTTTGAGAGCGGAAGGTCGGGGAGTGTTTGTGCGTGACATTTGTGGTTGTTAAAGCGTAGTCTGAAAGCCAAATTAGTCTGTCCGACGTACTGTTTATTACAGACATTGCAGTGCAGGAGATAAATCACGTTTGACGTGCCGCAATCGTAGCTACCCCTTATGTTCCACGTGAACTCTGAATTTGTGCTCGTGGCGTTCTTTGTTTCTAACATGTGCTTGCATACTTTACACCTGGGCTTTCGGCATGGTCGGCAACCTAGGTTTGCGGGAGTGGTAGTTTTTGATTTTACTAAGACGTCCTGGAGATTCCTGCCGCGTCGATAGACGACCCGAGGAGCGGCGGGAAAGATTTCTTTGAGGCGGTCGCTCTGTGACAGAAGATTGTAATTTTTGCTCAATATGTTGTTGATGTTTGGAAGATTGCCTGTATACGTTAAAATGAGGTTAGACTGTCTGCTTTCTTGAGGACGCTCTATTCGGTTGCCAATGATTTCTGAGCGGTCGAGGTTTCTTGCCTTGTTTATAGCGTCATCGATTACATTTGCTGGATACCTCTGCTGGGTTAGTACGCGTTTCAGTTCCTGAGCGTTTTGTTCAAAGTCGTTGTTGTCTGAGCATATGCGCTTAAATCTGTGCGCTTGAGAGTACGGCAGACTAGTCTTACAGTGTCGAGGATGGCAGCTGTTAAAATGGAGGTATTGTTGTCTATCGGTAGGTTTTCTGTAAAGTTTCGTACTTAATTTGTTGTTGGAAATTTCCACAGTTACATCCAGGAAGTTTATGCACTTTTGTGATACGGAGTGAGTAAATTTTATCGATGAGTGAGCTAAATTGAAGGCGGCGATAAATTTCATGAGTTCGTCTTCAGCACCGGCCCAGATCATGAATATGTCGTCGATGTATCTTGTGTAAAACAGCGGTTGAGTGGGGCGTTCAGCGAGAAAGGTGGTTTCCAGTTGTGACATAAATATGTTAGCGTAATTTGGCGCCATCTTAGTTCCCATAGCGGTTCCATTGGTCTGCAGGAAGTGCCTATTCTCAAATTCAAAGTGATTGTTCTCCAAAACCAGTTTCATCAGAATTGAAAGGACGACCCCCTCGATGTCAAGTGTGTGCTGAGCGTGTTCATACGCTTCGATCACTGCCGCAATTCCGTCTCTGTGGGGTATATTTGTATATAGGGAAGCCACATCAAGGGTTACGAGAAAAGCGTTATCCGGAATGTCTAGTGGGGAAATTTTCTGCAGGAAGTGGCTGGTGTCTTTAACAAACGAAGGGAAGGTTGGAGGAATGTCCCTGATCAGTGTATCGACAAGACTCGAGATACGTTCGGTGACTGTGCCTATTCCTGACACTATGGGTCGCCCGGGGTTGTTGATCTTGTGTATTTTAGGAAGGAGATAAAAGCGACCGGGTTTGGAGTGGGATGGTTTTATGGCGTTAAAAACCTCCTTGGTTATTTTGCCACTTTTCTTTAGAGCTACTAATTCCTTTATGATGGCCGTTTCAAGCCTTTGTGTGGGGTCTGTCGGTAGTTCGCGGTAAAATGATGCGTCATTCAATTGCCGAAAGCCCTCATCAAGATAATCTTGTCTGTTCATAACAACTATGGAGCCGCCCTTATCTGCAGGTTTAATAATTAAATCTGCCCTGGCACTGAGTCTTTTCAGGCACTCATTCTCTGGCCGAGAAAGGTTATATTTTGTCGGTCTTTGCCTCTTCACAGCGGAAATGATTTCGCGTTGCGTGATATCAATGTACATGTCGAGGTACTTATCTCTTCGCGGATTAGGCGTCCATTGCTTTCCTGGGTTGGTCAGAATCGTTTGGTTAGGATTCGGTTGGCGGTCGTGAAAGTACTCGCGGAGCCTCATGTTTCGGGCAAACTTGTCCAGATCTTGGTACAATTGAAACTCGTTGTAGTGGCCAGTTGTGGGGCAGAAGGTTAATCCTTTAGAAAGGATGTTGGTCTCTTCCCGCGTTAACACTGCGTCCGATAAATTTACTATGTTGCCTTTGTCCACTGTTTTTTCGCAATGTCTCCCGGAACGCGCTGCAACTTGCGGCCGGCAGCCAATCGTGTCTAGAGCGGCGGAGTTATTTGAAGCCAGCGACGGTTCTGCGTCTGCGACCCGTGTAGGCCCTGGAGGTGGAGAGTGGGCATGGATAGTTGCTTCGGCTAGTTGTTTTTTAAAAACAATTTATTTTTAACTGAAGGTACATTTCAAAAAGATTAGGTTCATTTTAATAAAGCACACTGGTCGAGAGCCGTCGCGAAAAGGAGGTACCGCCATCTATCAATACGAACGACAAAGACACCCCGCTACTGGACCCTTGTCGTCTGCGTCGCTGCCCGCCGTAGACCCTGGCAAGTTTTTTGACCTTATTTTTTACAGAAAAAAAGCTACGCTTTGTAATTTTACAAAAAAAAAAAAAAAAAAAAACACACACACACAAGAAACGTTGTGTGAAATACACTTTTGACGAAAAGTTTAGAGTGCTACGTGGAGGTTCGAATTTTACGGTCCATTTTAGATCGATCCCGGTGACTAAGTGGACCACACTATAGTTGAAGTGGGACGCTAGGCCTAGGCCTGTCCCGCTGCCACCCGCTACCAACCCAAGCACCGGCACAGCGTCGACAGCGCGTCCGAAGGCGTGTACTTGCGACAGTTATTTGCTGCAAACTTGATCGATCGAAAGGTTCTTCGTCTAAACAGCTCGGTGAACGCAAAACGACTCGCACTCATTAAAATAGACGAGCTCGACGAGCTGCTCTCGTTCATCACTCCGTAGACGCCGCCAGCCATGTTTGTTATCGCTTGAAACCGAAGCGGAAAGGAAATATCGGGATATTTTTGAAAATAGTAACGACTCTACCTAGATTTTTTGTTTCTCAAACAAAACTATTGTCGATGAAAATACTTTTACACCAAGGACAAGCAGTTTTACAACCAGTATTTCACACGTCAATCATCTCTCCAACCAACTAAAGCCAAGAAAAGGTGCTTAATTTCATAAGCACCGGGCAGGTCTGCCCTCCTTAAATTGCGTGTAACGGCGTAAATATCGGTGAAACAATTTTTTTTTGTGGAACATTTACAAATAAAATTATAAAATCCATCAAAAAAACTTATATTTTTCACTTTAGCGTCCCTTCACGTATCCTTCTTCTTTTAGGAATATATGCCTTTTATGTGCATTACACATTGAGAAAACCATAAACAGTGTGTGAGTTTTGTTGTTTGCCTCTAACTTTTTCAATTCCTCAGCTGTTTGCACACTTCTTCAACCCAGCCTCGGGGCTTACCGTGTTGAACAAATATCACCTCGCCTCCACTTTAAGACTGTGCAATGTAAAGCCAAGTTTTTTTTTAGACAAATAGTGTTCAAGGATAAAAGACTCACTTTTCGTTTTCGAATAGGCCTGCAATCAAGCAATACGGTTACCATAACGCTGGCGAAAGTCAGGCCGTGCAAAAGCTTCATTGCTGCCCTTTACTAAAGAAAGGACGTGGGTTCAACGTTGGTGTTTGCACTAGAACGGCGCACTCGTCACAGACAACAAAGCGCCGTTGATGAGCCACCGGATCATCAGGATCGTTCGAGGGTAGGTTTGCCCGGAGGGCAAGTATGTATTTCAGCAGAGCACCTGATACACTCTGTTGCGCATACGAAGAAATAAATTAGCCCGGGCTTTTTGTATGCGAAATTGTTGATCACAATAGAAGCCCTAAAGCCGTGTTAGATTCACTATAGCAGACGATATGAGAGCCATTTGTGCTTTTGTGATTTATCTGTTGACCTCTGCAAGAGCTTTCGTTTAGTCTAAGTCCCATTATTCACACTTTTCAACAAAGCGAGAGAAAAAAAAAAGCCTATGGATAACGCGAAAAATGCTTGTGACTACCATGGGATACATTATTATCAGTTGCCGAGTCCTCACCGGACCAATATCTTTTCTAGGTCAGGTTGTGAGCATCTGCAACTTGGAGTAGCTTGTGAGTCTTAGGCACTAGTTCCACACAGGCACGTAGCCAGGATTCTCGTTTCAGGTGGGGGGGGGGGGGGGGGGCTACCCATGACAAAATGATGTATGGGGGTGTAGGGGGGAGAGGAGGCCTTAGCAAAAGGGGGGGGGGGGGGCGGGGGGGAGGAGCCCGGGCGCCATGCTCCCCCCCCCCTTTCCACCCCACTCCCTTGGCTACGTGCCTGGTTCCACATCTTATTTAAGTGAGGGGTGTAGAGATGAAAAACAAATGTTATAGGAGCAGTGAAGTGGTTATCGGATTACCCTTTTTATTTATCATAATCATAATCATAATATCATAATCATAATCATAATTGACACAACCACCAAAGATAATCAAAGTCGTGGGTCATCGAAGATTCATACTCAATACTAGAAAGAGATAAAAAATGTGATATCCATTTTTGTGCCTTCTAAAAGTCACAAAAAAGTGCAAATACGTTGATTAAAAAAAAAAAGCTGCCCAGTTAAGTGATTTCCGGTATCATACTCATTTAAGTTTTTTCTTCATCACAAGTCCAGGTTCGGTTTCGGTATCGAGGAGTTTCATTTTATGACTTGAAAATATACGTGACACTGCAACACGATATTGATTGGGTAATCTTCTGACACTGAAATAAATCGCCTTCCAGGAAATCGAAAACACATTTGGAGGGCGTAAGTGTCCCTATAAGAAAGCGAAGCGAGTTGTTTGTAAAAATTGTAGGAAAACATTTTTATTCGCAAAAGCGGTAACTTCGATCAACTTCGAAATCACGTTAGCAGACCGGACGACGGGGACAGCAAGATGGCCAGTAGTAAAAAGGGTTGTGCACGAAGTCGCAACTTTCGTAGGGTCTGACATTGCACCTAAAAGAATAAAATGAAATATATTTTTTTGTTAACACCCGAACCCGAATATATATTTTAATGAATATAAGGTTAGGCTGCAAACAAGCTGGTGGTTGTTGAACATTGTAAAAATAAACCGAGACTGCGAAAAGCAAAGGACACACAAACACAGTGGCCTCTGTTTTTGCTTGTCCTTTCTCTCTTACAGTGTTTGTGTAATTTTAGTATACATTTTAAGTTCGCCCATTTTCTAGAGTTTTATAATGTGTGCAACGATTGCAATGATTTCCCAAACTCATCACGATGTCTAAAATTCTAATCGATTAGTCTGCCTGAGCTACGAAAAAGTGAATTGCACGTTTTGGTATTTAAATGTTGGACTTCTATAACCCCGATAGAGGACAGGCGCCGAAAAAAACACAAGGACAAGAAAAGACGTAAACGCTGGCGCGGTGTTTACGTCTCTCCTCATCCTGGTGTTTTTTCCGGCGCCTCTCCTTGATATTGAACCAACTGGTCCAAATTACCATCTTCTATAACCCATTGTATATAAAAACGTTCATGGATAAAATAACGTATTGTAAAGATGGGTGAGAATAAAAACTCCTACAAATTAGGCGTTCTTGTTAATAATGCATAAACATTCTTATCATTTAATAATGTCAATTTTGAATTTACTGTACAATATACTAATAACAATTTTAGTGTAAGGTGTGACTCTGCACCAAATTTAAAACACTTGACAAAAGTTTAATATTTTTTTTTATAAATACCCTGTGTGCACATGTACAATTCCAACCATGCATTAGTTAATTGCGCTTATGTTTAAGCTTTTATATAGAACTTTTATTCCACTTTTTGAGTTCACCGAAATATTGTGGCTAATTCCAAGACCGACTGCAACATTTGCTTTCTGCCACGCAGTTGATTATAAAATACGGCTTTCAAATGACAAAGTATTTAACTTATTTCTCCATCATCTTTGAGTACCACCTGTGTATCACAGTTAAGATATCCAGTGAAAGACTGTTTATGAGATGTGAATTGATTAGGTATGTAATTTATTCCTTAAGGGCTCTTTTAAAAAAAGAATAAATTTGCGTAGGACAGGAAATGTTTATTTCTTGAAGGAATAACACTTAAGACTGCTTGCATGAAGGAATGCAAAAGCATTCATACACGCAGTGGATTCCTAGAAACACAGCGCCGCGTCTTCCCATCGGACATGGCGCTCCGGCGGTGACATCACACCCCCCACTGCGCATGCGCCGTGAAATGCGCCGGCTCCACGCCTTCCGTGACGGCGCATCTATGTTGCTGTGCTTTTCGTTGTGTTTTCTTTTTCAGGCGCGTCCGCTTTGACCTTGAGTGCGCCGCTGACTTCCGGGACGAAGCATCTGATATGACGCGTCACAGCCAATAAAACGCGTCGCAGCCATTTTAACGGCCGTTTATTTAGATGCCTGTTTATTGCGATCACTGCCACTTATTTGCTAGTGCTGGTACCAGGAAATCAGCGTATTTTACTTGGTAACCTGAACGTGATTATAGAGAGGTCTTGCTGATGCAACAAAATTCAGGAGGACAAAAAAGGTTATAATTTTTTTCTAGCCATTGTCATATTTACATATTCGAAACGATTAACGTATTACAACAACATCAGCCGTCAATTTAATCAAGATATAAAAATTAAACATGCACACGCACTATTATTATTTACAGCTACGGTTTTGCCCGATGGCTTCCTGCAAAGAGTGAGAATATAAATTACAAACCCTTCAACTGTAAGTGTTTTTGCTGTTACATTGCAAAACCAGCGTTCACAAGGGTACTGAAGTATTTTCAAACCTCCATCGTTGACTGTTAGATTGCGGTACTTGCATGTACCTGCAGAATGAACGGTTAAACAATGCGTTGAAACATTAATACACATTAATGTTGACATTATAACTACTCTATACCTCAGATTTTCGTCACATACGCAAATTTAACTTGTTCATTTCAAGCTAAACAATCTCGGACAATCACAAATTTAGTCTAAATATTCTCAACAAAAAGAAAACGTCGATGGCGGCAACACTATGTTGTCGCATCCCTCGAATTTGCGTGGTGCAGAAAAGGTCGTGTGTGATGAGCCTCGTCGCGAGCGGAGGAGAAGCGAAAGGGACAACCGCTTGTGGTGCTGCGTCTCGAATGTTCTCCTCGGAACGTTCTCGCGTTCTGCGAATTTATTAGAAGCACCCTTATTGGCACGGAAGGTGTTGTTAAATCCCCATTGGCTCGTTAAAAAGACGACGGTGCCAAGAAACAGCAATGCAAGGCCGGGAATGCTTTGACGACATGGCTTCGAAGGTTTTGGAAAAACGTAAAAACGATACCCTTTGTACCAGAGAAAAGGCTGGCTTCTCCAGAATAGTCAACGCAGTGAGGTAATGTTGCAGTAAAGCGAATAAACCTTGGTGTGTCTGTTTTCTGCCTATTTTGTTAGGGTAACATATATTTGGCGCACATAATGTTGTCTCGAAGCTCAGTCATAATACATTGATAACGGTTTTATTTATGCATCACGGACACAGCGCCTGATATTTATTTAAGTGGATATGAGCTCTTTGGAATGTTGTGAAATCAGCGAACACAATATGTTCGTGTAAATTTGAATATTATATATCAGATGTCTCTCCAAACTACTGGTCGCGCTTTCTAAAGGTGACTTCCTCTGGCATAGTCGTTCTATTCGACGCCCCTAGAACCTCGTATCAGCGTTCCAGTATGTGTAAGTAGCGCTGTATCCGTCTCATAGCATAGCACAAAATGGATAGGTGACGTAAGCTACCGCCCGATCCAAAGGGCTCAGCCAGATTCATCCATCCATCAATCCATCCAGCATTTATGGATTGCCCGCTGCGCCAATTTGATGGGCGTAGGGGCAAACCAAGGAAGAAGGAAACCGGGTCCAAAGTGCAATACTGTAACACGTGGAAAAGGTTAGTGTATCTATTCTAAGTCTTGAGCCTCCTTTGAGAGTTGTTTCTAAAACCACATCTTTGTTGACCCTCATGACCCTGCAGCCTATTATTATCGTTCCTCAGCCAATAAAATCGCGTGTTGAGCTCATAAAGATGCCAATAAATGAATCACACTTATATAAGCGTGAACATAATAACCTTTCAGTGACTCTAGTGGTGGCCTCTTCAATTCCGAAAAAGCTCAGTGTCATCGCAAGAAGTCGTATGACGCTCTTTAGCACCCAGTATGGTACTGGCAGGAAAATCATATTTCTTTACTTTGGGTTGCTCCCATGCAGAGTGCCCGAATCTGTCGAAGGGCAAGTATCCAATGGCAGAGCGAACCAATTTCTTGTGCAGCTTGGCTTTGGAAATAGGCAGTAAACAGGTGAACAGTGAAAAATTATCTGCACTGTGTAGTTAAATTACCTGCTACTATTTTCAGAAGAAATAAACAATATGGCAAAAATAACACTAAGCTCTCAACCTACGCTGTTAGAATTGATCAGCTGTGATTTAACAACGTGGTTTTATAATTTCTACATATTTTAGGTAAGTCTTGATTTTTGTGTTTTTTTTTTACCTCCGGCGTAATTGATTTTTTGTCTCGATACGTGGTCATGTACCAAAATCATCTCCTGGGGAAGTGACAAGCGCACTCATGAAACACCCGGAGTTCGAAACTTTACATTTCACTTCCCGTTCTCTCTCGCATTGATTTATTCCTTCACTCAATAGAGAAACAAATATTTCGCATTGTTCCCAAAAGGTATCGGTTCTCTTTCCGAATTACAAGTCGTTTAAGGCTGACATAAAAAAAACACTATATTTTTCAACGCATAACATATCGTGATAAATAAGGGCAAAATAAATCAAGAAAGAACGAATATGACTTGGGCGAGTTCTATTTACAGGAAGGACGAAACACCTTAAAGAAGAAGTATAAAAGTTTATTTTTAGTTGTATTTTTGTTTTGGTTTAAATTAGGAAGTGAATTTATAAAAGGAAAAAAGGACGAGTAGGCTAAGTACAAAGGGTGCGTCGGTTTTAGGTGTTTGTACCACCTGTGTTCTAAGCACCGAATAATATAGTGATTGATACCCATCACAGAAGTCTATCATTTTTTAAACCTTACGAGCGATTTTTTATTGTTGTTTTAATTTTTTTATTTGGTTTATAGATCTGGCTCATATTTTTCGTATTCCTACTACAGATTTTCGTCCCATCTATTAAAAAAATTCGTTTGGGTCCTCAAGGTACTGTAATAAATAATTAAATTAAATAATATATGAAATAATAATTAAATCGGAACTATAACAATTTAAATGTGATTTGAATAGGTAACAATTCCACACATTAAATCGCTTGAAGAACATTTCGAAGAGAATAAAAATTGTGTACTACCGTCTTCAAATGAAACTCCGTAATGGTGGCGGTGATTAGTGTCTCCCATGATCAGTGACACACCTCCGAATGCGATCACGGCCAATAGAACGATTGTCCTCATTCCTGCTGCAAAAAAATGACTCTGCAAGTTATTGCAGTTAGTAATGTATTTAACTGAAAGTCAGTCTTTTATTTGATTTTAGTTCGTTAATTTTGGTTTTCGATGATGAAAGTGTTCTGGATTTCAGCCAAAACGTACAGAATCATTGGCTACACCCTAAAGCCTATATAAATGTATGACTTTAATTATCACAGCATAGCTTTATGGCAACTTCACTTGCCTTAAGTAGTGCTGTACAGCCCTAAAGTATATTGCTTCTCTTGCTTTAGTGGCTTGCGGACTTCATTAATGCTGTGACACCTCACCGTTTGGGCGATTCTTACTTTTCTTTTTTTCAAATGCCCGTGTTCGATTTCGGATAAAGTGTATTCCAAGTCATATTTCCAGATGGGCAACAACAATTGCCAATCCCACATATTGATGCAAAGGTCACAATATAAAAACAATGGTGTCTTCTGGACTATCTTTTCAGAAGAGTATCGCTAACACTTGTATCCACATATATTTAAGATTGATATAACAGAGCACTGATTCAAGAGCCGAGACCCCAGTAACCATGGATGATTACTTCTTCTCTGTTACGCAAGCTGCACGTGCTCATTTGATCATTGGAATACGGAGGGCAAGTTGGTCTGCTTCGTTTGCAGGGGTTGTGGTGGCGTCAGAAAGCCGAGCTCAGATTGCTTCTGATCTAAGTATAGTGGGTAGACCTCAAAGGAACTCGCGTTGAGGTCTACTCAGTATTTTTCAATCAGAGCCAATCAAATCTCGCCATTCAGACGTCACCACAACACCTGGAACATAAGCGAACTTGCGCTCCCCATTATCGAAGTACCTTCCGTTTCACATGAGGTCCGAGTACAACCAACGCTTATATCCGAAAGAGCCAATCAGGCAGCGCAAAAAGTGCATGGCCATGGCGCTGTCGCCTTTGTGCATGTGCTATCACTAATGAAACCAATCACAGACAAAAATATACTACGAGATCACTGAGAATTCACAGTGTGCGATTGGTTTCGCCGGTTGAAGCAAGCGCATCAAGACGACAAGCTTCGTAACGATGCACTTTTATCATTATGGCTTAATTTGAAACAAGGTGCACTAACATAAAGAAACGTTCATGCATGCGGAGCCACAGTGCAGCTGACAGGTGGCGATCGAACATTCTTATCTGCTGTGCTCGATTGATTTTAACCAGAAGAGAACTTGACATTCTCGTGGTTCATAAACTTTAGTGGTAAAGATGTCTCGGTAACGTTTAGGTAAAAAAAACTCTTACCGAATTAGATGTTCCCTTGAACTAGCAGGGTTGCGTTGTACGAACGCCGTGGAACGATACGACTATTTATATAGGAGAGCTGTGTGAGTTTAAAATGTTCGTCAAACAGGAAGAACAAACAACAGTTATAAAAAAAGATATTGCGCGGAAGAAAATGACCTTTAATTAGTAAAACAAAACTAAAGAGCAATCATAGTTCTTTTTTAGTCGAAACAAGCAGCTGTTTCTCTAACTCTGCTTTGCGTGAATTTCGAATATAACATTATAGACTTCAGTTTGCGACCTGAGAAGACGTCAGTCCTCGCCGATTGTGGTCACCTTTCCAGTGCGTTTGATGCATGACCTTTCGAAGTCGCTATTCTTTGAGTGGATGAAAGGCTTTGAACTTTTCCATCTTGTTTTCTTCACAAACAAGTGTGGGCGTTACATCCTTCATTTTGTTGCTGTCCTTCGGTGCTTCTCTGCAGTCAAGGGCTTGCAGCCTGCGGACCTGCGCTCGTTACTGAAAAGGTATTATAGATTTCAATTACTAGATGAGCAAATTATCGTTACCAATTACGTCTAAAATAATGTATTGCTTTAGTTAGTACGGTAGAAATTGCTTGTCCATTCCTTTGCCCGAATAATTCTCAAGACGAACTTAAGGTGCTATTTCTAATAATTCATTTGAAAGTGTGGCAATCGTGTTTGCGATATTCCATCATTACGTTTCTTGTAGTATCTGTATAACAAATTTGTATACACGAATAAAAATAATGTGCTACGCTTCTTATTAGTTGTGTTTAGTGTTGGGAAAAACAGACGCCAGCTTGCAGAAGTCTGCAGATATTCGACAGCAGTCCGGGTAGCACTGCTCTCTTGTCCCAAATATGTATTTGTTTGGGAATTTAGTGTCTTAATAAGCTCAAAAAAGTCCAGGTAAAACCAATCTTGACCATTTTTGGCCAGAGTCTGGGTACCTTGGCCCTGAATCGTCAAACAAACGTCAAGGTTGATCTTCACTACCTGGTAGTTCCCGGCACCCTTGTGCATAATCAACAAACAAATGCCAAAATTAGGCTTCAGTACTAGCAGGGATGGGCAAAATACATGCAAATATGTATCGAAATACAAATAAAAAATACTTCGTCCAAAATGTATTTAAATACAAATCTAGTTACATTTCCCAAAAAGCATTTAAATACAAGATACAAATACAACCAAATGTATTTGGTGTCCTCCCAATACTTTCCCAAATACATTCCTCAAAATTTGCGTCAGCGACTTCAGGGCACCTGCAACGGGTTTCTGGGTATCTCATTTTAATTTTGCATCACAAACTCGGGAGTTAGTGCGCGAGCCTCTAGTAACGTAATAGAAATATAATTAAAAAATAGTAATCAGCTTGGACGTAATAGGTGAAAAAAGTACAGAGCTTCAGGAAGCTTTTTTTGTCGATTACCTTTTGGTATAGACCAACAAAGAACCGAGACGACCAAGACGCGCAGCACTAGCTAGAGATTTTTTTATTGTTGCAACTCGCACCAGTTACGAAACTCTGGACGACCCGCGCATTTAGAATGTTCCGGGCAAACATATGGATGGAAATCAGGCTGGAAAGCATCACAAGTTGTCACAGGCACTTATTTAGCCAGTCTGCCTGTGAACGTCGGTTCGTCACTATTCTTGCCCTGGACTAGCACCGTAATCACAGAGTCGCTAAACGCTTGTGCTTGATTGAGAGACACTGCATTCGGTGCAGAACATGTTTTTTTCCTGCTCTGGACAGTGACAATAAATTTGAGGGATGTATTTTCGCCCACAAAATTGTATTTAATTACAATTGTATTTAAAATACCCACGCTTTAGTATTTAAATACACACATCAAATACATTACCCAATTTGTAATTAAATACAAGTGCAAAATACATAAAGTATTTGAAATATGTATTTCAAATACTTGTATATGAAATACTGCCCATCCCTGAGTACTAGTCGTTTATTTTTTATTTGGCGACTTTGGGACAAGATTCCCAGAAAAGCGTTAGAATTAGGCTGCACTGCTGGTTACTCGATTGATGTGTGGAATCTTTTCCTGAGGTTTGGCACTTTGGCATTTATATGACAGGCCAAAGGAAAGCCATTAAAATGCAAAAGAACGGATTTTTCGAACTAAACCCTTGTAGCAAAATCATATTAGGCCCCAACAAGTGGCAAACTTGGGCCAAATCGGGCGTTTATCTGGGCATACTCTTAGAACAACTGCACGTCAAAGCTTTTATTTTTGTTTTAGAATGCTTACGCTTGTGCTTATGCCGCTCACTAAATTCTAGTCAATTCTCAGACTGAGTATTGACAAATGATAGACTCAAAAATGGAACGCAAAGGTTTCACAAACATCTCACAAATGCGACAAAGTAAAAAGAAACGAAGCGGTAAATCATTAAACTTTCGACTCACGCGACAACGCAATGTTTTAAGCTTCCGAGCAACGAAGATACAAGTACAGCATATCATCAGCCATTGTGCAACCTTAGTTCTTTATACGCCGGTCAAGTCCTAGACACTTACCGAGGCAGGAAGAGTTGCGAGCCTATGAATTATTAGAAAATTAAGAGTGGGTTACTGGATGGATCACGGAATGATATTATTATTACAATCTTGCGCGGGTCGTTCTTGTTTAGTGGTTACTTAGCCGCCTTTGGTCAGATTATACATGGTGTTCGCCCCACTTCCGGCCGTCAAGACCGGGGGAGGGAGATACTTCCGTTTCTCCCATGTTTCCTTGTGTTTGGGTGGATGCTCGGCGACTCTTGGGTCACTAGCGAGAAACTGCGCGAAAGCTGCGCTTTAAAAATGCCACAGTCCCGTACTTTTAAGTTGACTATGCTCACCGGCACGAACAAAATGCCGCAAGTGAAGTTAATTAATTCTCTCGACACGAGGGATGCCACTGACGCCGCCAAGCTTCCGTGATCGCTGCTAAGAAAACGGTACTTGCCTAGTTCGATGTGCTTCCGATAGATGGCGCAACGCGACAAACGAGAAGATTACTGACACTAGCGAAGATGCCGCGCCAGCGTCGCCCTCAACCGACTAACAATGACAGACGCAAACAGCGCCATTACGGCACGTATAATTGCAAGCTGGCATGGTGCTCTGGGAAAGAAGCCTTGAGTGCCAAAGCCCCAAGGTCGTCAAAACATTAAAAAATTCAGTGTTACAGAGACTCGCGTAGCGCTGAAGGAAGCGTAATGAAAATAAGATTGTGTGCTAAAACCATGACCCAGCTCGGCGACCCCATGCGATGAAGCTCGGCGCGTAACTTCGGCAACTGGGGCAGGTAGGGTCCCCTTGGCGATGCCTTGCCGTTCACGAAGTAGTTGACACTCAGGTATATGGACATGGTGGCTCGGATAGGTAGTCGTGAAGATGCACCCATGACTGCTTCGGTGGACTTGTGGAGCAACTGCTCTTCCTTTCAACCCAATGGACCAAGAAGGCATATCGGTTCAGTATAAGTAAATTCCAGGTGGTACCGCAGTCAGTTATCGGCGGTGAATCTTTTAAAGTAATCTATCACTGCGGGTCCCAAAAACGTTCGACGTTTCGGACTCCGGCCGAAACGTCGAAGAATAAATCGTCCGTTGTTGCTGTTTTCACTAAGGGTTCTATCTCGGATACATATACCCATGCCTTCGGCCTCCCGCCACCATGCCCATTGTATATATGTATATGCATATATATATGGGTGATTTCATCTCAAATCGTGCAGACAAAAAGGGTCGAATTCTTAATTTCGCTGAAAAAAATATATGTTATGGCGTCGTCTCTAAAAACGTAGTCGCCACAAACCGCAAGTTCGTCGGATTTTTGTTCTGGACTTACGAATTTTTAAAGGGGCCGCGGCGGAAAGCAGTGTTTCTCACATCTGTCGTGGGTCGGATGTTTCGCTCGATCTGCCGCCGTGGATTTTCAATCCACGTTATATTAACTTTTATCAAACACTCTGTGAGCACAGGTAAAAGGCTCTAATACCATGAAATAATTTTAGGGTTTTTTTTTCTGTAAAAATGTCAAAAACGCTTCCCCCGCGGCTAATTTTTCACGAAATTTGACAATTAAAAACTGGCGATCTACTTGGGTTACATCAATAATTTTTAAGTCTATGGAGAGCCCAAAATACGCTCGTTATATATATTATAAAAGGACTATGCTAAAACGAAAAAGTACCAATTTCGAAATCAATTTCCTAAAAAAAAAAAAGCATTTTTTTATTTTTTTCATTTTTTTGCTAAAATGTAGATATGATAGTTGTCTACGCAAAAAGTAAGTCGAGAAAGTGTGTATTTTGTTTGTATGTTCTATATTTGAGCATCAATATCGTAGAAAAACGTGTTTTTGCGGCTCGAAACGGACTTGCGAATTGCGCGTCTTCACAAACTTGGAGATATTTTTGCCTTTTTTCAGCGTTCTCACATAAAAATGAAATACAGTAGTTCCACCTTGTTTTAATTATTGATCATTTAAATTTATTCTAGGCGATAAGCTACATTGGAGTAGTTCAAATGAGAAAGCAACACTTCTTAACAGAGCAGCAGGCGTCGTAAACTTTTAATGTGTAGAAATCGGCAGACGTCGTATTTATTCGGGCCCTCATTGGCCATTATGAACGTCCCGCCCTTCCGGAACCACCAGATGACCCCGACATTTCGCGCTCGTTGTGTTAGATAGGAGGGCCCGTGACAGTAAAGCGAGCAGCGCACCCTGTGTCGCGAGGAGTGAAATGGTACGAATGTGTCGTTGACGCGGCGAACAGTGACGGCCACGCAGGAGGAGTCAGTCAGACAGAGTATTGCAGAAGGGAAAGCAAAATAACTGTTGCCTGGGAGGATGAGGACACCTCGGCCTTACAATATCGACGATCAACAACAGTTCTGCCGGTCAAAACAATGCCGCGTGCGAGCTAAAACCGGCGGCGCGGGACAACAATCCCGGAGACTCACACACGAAGATGGACAGGTTCCGTTAGGGATGTGGGGAAATTTTGAAACCAGCCATCCATACACGTGTGAAACGATACC